AATATTTTTTCTGAAATTCAAATTAACAATTTTTATAAAATTTTTAATCAAAAATCTGAGTTTTTTATTAATGAAATAAAAGAAATTCTAACAAGATGAAATGGGAGATATATAGTATATTCAGGTGGTCAGAAAAACAACGTGCAATTTGATCCTTAGAATTGTACGGGTAAATAATAAGAAGTCTTCAAAGAAAAATACATTTATAAGGGTAGGATATTAAGAAAAGTTCAGTATTATACGTACAGATATATATGTATATCTTTAAAAAAAATACTAATATAATATCGGATTAATATTATATTATAAAAGGCTAAATACTAATTAACAAAATGGAATTCTATTTTGCTTGAATAAAAGCTGTCAACGTGTAACTCATTTCCCTAAAATTAATGCGTGCGGTCAAATTAACATAGACTCCTACCTAACCCTAGTATTCAAATTTTAATCTAATCTGATGCACGACATATCAATTATATTAAATATAATATGGCAATTTATGTCAAGCTAGATACAGTGAAAAAGCTATTTTACTCGCGGGTTTTAATTAAACCGCACTAAAGTCGATTATCTAGTGCTTGTATAAATTAGGGATGGTAAAAAAAACATTTTTTCACCGATTTAAAACAGAAGTCCGAATGATTTAAGATCATAATTATCACCTGTTTTTAATTACGTAATAAAAAACATTTATCATCTATTATAGATAAGTATCGTATTGAGGTAATGGTTTAACATAAGCCATCAGCTCCAATGATTATTCCAATGGTTGAATATTTCTAACACAACCAAAAATTTATTCTATGCCCTAACATGGCAGGCTTCAACTAGAGTTCTTACCGGGTAAGGTTGAATCGTATAGGCCAATAAATCATATTGCTGATGTAAATCATAATTCGTCGTCTTTTGCACCACAGACGCGTGGTGGATATCCTATCTTGACTGGTTTTTTTTTAAACGTAGAATTCGTATCAAAGGTTGCGAAATTATTTGAATTGAGCTGTTTTAGACTTTTAGACCTTACGTTCTTGTCGAAGAGGGCTGATTCCACTTAGTGCATGAATTGCGCTTTTTAATTAAAATATGGTTGAAGCAGGAGTTAAGTCATTAATCATATGAGCTATATCTTTACTTCGAACCCTTAACCTCATTTTCTTGTATGTATATAGTTTTCACAAAAATTTTTACGCTCCTCAGAAAATTGTCAAAATTTTTAATTTCCAATTGGCCAAATTACCAAATGTGCCGGTAATACAAACCTAAAAAAGAAATTTTACTATAAAGTACTGTACATATGGCTACTACTGCACTATTACTGCACTAATTGTATATAAATTCCCCTCAATTCTGCAATTAACGCGCCAACGACGATTTAAACATTAATTTTCGAGTATTTTCGTTTTCTTCTTTCGCATAAGCTCGGATGAATTATTATAAATGTTACACGAGATTTTATAAAATTTATCGTTATCAGATATGATTGAATATCAAAAAAATCGCCTGTTCACAAAATTCAGCTAGACCGTTTGTTAAGTGCATTGCAAACAAATTGTAGTCACTTTTATTAGAGGTAGTTTTTATAGCAGGCGATAATATGTTAAACTCAATTTGATAATTACTAGTATTACAGAAACAAGTCTGTCATATTGTAATATATTATATTAAAGAAATGCCTGTTCTGAAAACTTTGACAGTTCGTTCTTTGGTTGCTTTTACATTTTAAGATCTATAATGTTTTTATTTTTATTATCGGGATTTTGGTTGTCGGTTTATAGATGTCAGGGTTTTGGTGTTGTCGAGATTTTCGTACTTTCTTCTGGATCGCACATAGAAAAATCTGGGTGAGATGGGTTACGTTAACTCTGGTCTCGAATTACAATAAAAAGTTTCATTGAAAATTTCAAATGTTTTCGAATAAAAGAATGGCCTTTATTATTAAGTACAAATAATATATAACAGTGTAATAAAAATACCGTAGACAATTTTAATATTGAACCATTTATAAAGATGTAGTAGAATTTATTTTTTTTTATTCGAAACTTAAATTGTATATTTTTATTTATTTTTCCACTAGTACAATTTACAACTATTTACTATCTAAACTACAATTTTTTTTTTCAATCAATTTCTTCTTCTAAATATATCTTCTTTTTTCATTCCCGTTTTTTTCTTCTAAAAGTACTTTTTTCTCTTCTAATTAAAAAAAAAAAGAAAAAAGATATTAATTATCTGTAAGTTAAAAATAAAGAACGAATTTTTTATATAATATAAGACGAGTTTAGCGAAACATCTATTCAAAATGATAAGCATAATGAGCTTTACTTAAGGAGTTATCAGAAGCCGGAGAAGAACGTTCACAGTACCAGTAATTTGCAAACTGTGGCCACGAAGAGCTTTCAATTCTCCGGCTCCGCAAATTTAAATAATTAAAATTTAATTATTAGGTTTTGTACAATATCAGCATTATTATTGTATGAAATATATAGGGCATTGTTATCCAGAAACTTGAGAAGTACGTTCACAGTACCATGATCACCAATGCGTTGTCTTGTTACTGTGGCCACGATGAGCTTATCAATTCTCAAGTTCCTTCTGATGGGATAACAGCAGCGCATTTCAAGTGAACTTCTAAAGTTACGGTCTGTAACGAGAGTACATAACTTAATTCCTCATCCGGAACCAGGTTGTACCCTCACCATAACTTCAAGCGAAAGAACTGCATTTGTTCTTCAACCAATTCACCGTCCATATACCCTATATACGATATCTCCAAAAAAGTAAATTCGGCATAACGCGTAGAGCTTATAACAGCTCTCCCATCTAAAGATAATAAAAATTCATCAATAAAATTAACCTACCTTTAATTCTTTTTTAAAAAACTGTCCAGCAACGTCGTGAAAATGGGTTCCGTAAACGTATCGGTCGATAGTGGTTTCGTCGTTCGTTGGAGTTCTTTAGATCCAGGTCTTTACTACGTCGAGTCCGCGGTGGCAAAAAATATTTCAGCTCCGATTCGAAAGTCCGACTTAAGTAATAGAAAAGGTTTTTTTCTTTAGGAATTTAGAAATGTAGGTTATAATCAAAAAACTAAACGAATAGATGTACTTATTGTTGGACATTTTTTTTAAAAGTGAAGGGAAAAAGTGAAGAGAAAAAGTGAAGGGAAAAAAGAAGGGAAAAAATTTTTTTTCGAAAAAAAACATTACGTACTATATAATACATAACAGATAATACATAATACATATCAAAACAAATGACGTCATAATTTTTTGCAGATCCGATGAGGTAATTGTGTAAATCACGTGTATTAATTAATAACATGTTCTGAAATAGATTACTAGGCTAATGCGTAGCAGAGCATTATTTTAAAATTAAAGTATGTTATACAGTATTCTAACTAGGTTAATGCGTAGCATTGTGTGTCCGAAGCGCAAGAATAACTAAAGTCTAATTTCATTTTTTTGATGTGACACAAAACAAAACAATGTGATGTATCAAAAACGTAACATGCGGACAGACACTAAATATGGAAGTTGCATTTTTGATATTACTATTATTGATGCATCAAAAATGTAAGTTTTGTATCACCTTACGTAAACATATAAAGTCCTCCGCTACGCTCCGGACAATTAATATAATTTTACTATATAATTGATATATAATTAATTGTTATACGTAAAAATAAGGACGAATATATTTATAATAGCCCTGTTACACACTCTATCTGTAACAGCCTCAGAAAATAAGGTCAGAAATAGGTTCGGAAAACAATTTAAATTTTTATTTATCGTTATAGAACAAAGGTTGAAAAATATTAGTTACGTAATATTTGTTACTATCACATTAATCAATCAGATTATAGAAATTTATCGCAATTTTTATTATAATTTGATATTGTAGTCTATTATGAAACTTCGCAATTTAGCAATTGCAATAATGTATAGTATGTTGTTGAGATTGAACTAGTTTGCATTGGAATTAATAGTTGATATTATCTGTAGTAATACGGTATGCGGGTAAGTTGCATTGAATTAACTAACAATAGCAATTTCTATTATGATTTGCCATAAAAAATTTTGTTACGACTTACTTGATATTGTGGTGACCACAGTGGGTGAGTTAATTTGTATTGGAATTAACAGTCGTGATTTTCTGTAATGATTTGCCAAAAAAAAAAAAATTTGATACAAAACTCACAATTGCGATAGTGTTCAGAAATAATTAAGATTGATTTAGTTTACATTGGAATTAACGATTTCTATGATCTGATATAAAAAGTTTTTTTTACAAGACTTACCTGCTATTGCGAAGACACAATATATGGTTGAGCTAATTTGCATTGGAACTAACGGTCGTGATTTCTATTGTGATTTACCGTGAAAATTTTGTTACAAAACTTACGGGCTAATGTGATGGAATACACTATATGGGTAAGGTTAAATTAATTTGTATTGGAATTAACAGTCGTGATTTTTATCACGATTTATTGTAAAAAATTTTGTTATAAAGCTTACCTGCTATTGCGAAGACACACAGTATATGGTTGAGTCAATTTGTATTGGAATTAATGGTCGTGATTTCTATTGTGATTTAACGTAAAAAAAACTTAGACTATTGCGGTGGTACACACTATATAGTTTAAGATTGAAATAGTTTGCGCTGGTAAAAAATTTGACACAAGACTTGTTATTGTGAAGACATACAGTATACGACTGAGTTGGCATTAGAATTAACGGTCGTGATTTCTATTGTGATTTACCATCAAAAATTTCGTTACAAACTTACAAACTATTGCGATAGAACATAATATATAGGTAAGGTTAAATTAGTTTGTATTGGAATTAACAGTTGTGATTTTTATCTTGATTTGCTATAATAATTTTGTTACAAGATTTACCTGATATTGCGAAGACAATATATGGTTGAATTGGAATTAATGGTCGTGATTTCTATTCAAGATTTAACTTTGTTAAAAAACTTAAGACTATTACGGTAGCACACTATATAGTTAAGATTGAATTAATTTGTATTGGAATCAAATAAAAATTTTGACACGAGACTTACTTGCTATTGCGAAGACATACAACTGTCGTTATTTCTATTGTGATTTACCATGATAGAACACAGTATATAGGTAAGGTTAAATTAGTTTGCATTGGAAACAACAGTCGCAATTTTTATCATGATTTGCTGTAAAAAATTTTGTTACAAGACTTACCTGCTATTGCGAAGATACACAGTATATGGTTGAGTCAATTTGTATTGGAATTAATGGTCGTGAGTTCTATCATGATTTACTGTAAAAATTTTTCTTTAAAAAACTTACAGGCTATTGTGATAGCACATGGTATATAGTTAAGGTTGAATTAGGTTGTGTTGGAATTAATAGTCGCGATTTCTGTCATGATTTGATGTAAAAAATTTTGTTAAAGGACTTACTTGCTATTGTGAAGACATATAATATATGGTTGAGTTAACATGTATTGGAATTAACGGTTGTGATTTCTATCGTGATTTGCTGTAAAAAAATTTTGTTACAATCTTATATATAGGTTAAGGTTGAATTAGTTCGCATTGGAATTAACGGTTGTGATTTCTATTGTGATTTTGCTGTAAAAAAATTTTGTTACTAAACTTACAGTAAAGGTTAAAGTTGAATTAGTTTGCATTGGAATATATATAATGATTTGCTGTAAAAAATTGTTACAAGACTTACTTGCTATTGCGAAGACATATAGTATATGGCTGAGCTAATTTGTATTGGAATTAACAGTCATGAGTTGAAATTAATTTCTATAAAAATTTTTGGTACAAGACTTGCTTGCTATCGTGGTAATACACAACAGATGGCTAAATTAATTTGCATTGGAATTAACGGCTATTCGATTTACTGTAAAAAAAGTTGGACTATTGTGATAGCATATTAAAGTTGAATTAGTTTGCATTGGAACTAACAGTCGCAAGTTCTATAATGATTTACTGTAAAAAATTTTGTTGTAAGACTTACTTACTAATTCTACGGCACGTGTTTGATTGTTAATTGGTCGTGATTCCTACCATGATTTAGCGTTGTTTAAAGAAAAACAATTGATAATCATTCAATAGAAAACCTTGACTAACTTGATTATTGTACACGAAGATAACGTGTATGTAGTGGTTGTGGGTTTAGAGCATTACGGCGTGAGATCAAGAAATGTTCAAATCTAAACGGAAGTAATGAACGAATAAATGAACAAAGAAAGTATGTTAGAAAGTAACAAGGCTTATTAGACAAAGCGGTTGCACGAACGTTATAATATTACTGGTTTACTGTTTTAGAAAGCCTGTATCATGATAACTTTTTTTTTTTTGAACTTCGGATTTTTTTTGTAATTACGTGACACACGTGCAGACAGACAAAAAAGTTCAAACTTACACTTTTGATTTAATTTCTATAAAATTTACAAAGATGTATCAAGAAAGATACCTTTCTTGATCAAAATGCATCAAAAGCGTAATTTTTGTATCACTTTGCATAGACACTTAGGGTCCGCCGCTACGATCCGGCCAATTATAAAGAAAGACCACAAAAAAGGCCCTAAAAAATTTTAAAATTTTAAAATAAAATATGAAAAATTTTCAGCATAATCCATTTTCAGCATAGTCCACCACAATTATTTTCATCTGTCTTGAATTGTCATAACCCATTTAAAGATCTAAATTGAATTCGCTTTCAAGACACATTCGAACCCAATCATTGTGCTTAGAGGTTTTTTTTTTACATATTTTAACATAGTCTCTTGATAGGTATTTAAATTTCATTTAAAAAATGTAAGAGGATAATTTTTACTTTATGATTAATTATAAATATTGATCACAGTTTCGAAATAAATAAATTTGATTTTGATTATACAGTACTAGGAAACAGGAACTGTTGATGTCCGGAGCCTCAATATTTAGATTATAATTTTATAGCTTTTTAAAAAAAATTTTATAATACAGTCAGACCTCTCTAAATGCAATGCGACGGGACCATATGTAAAAATTTAGCCAAATGTGTACTTAGAGAGGTATTGCATTTTAGGGAGGTAAAAAAATATATAGGCGTGATATTAGTTGGGCCCAAGAGAAGACGTGCATTTAGGGAGGCTTTTCATAGGACGTGCACTTAGAGGGGTTGCATTTAGGGGGGTCTGACTGTATATCATTTAAAATAACAAGGTTATACCAACAACAGTAATAAAAGTATTTTTAATATTTATTACAGTATTTATATCTTTTTTCTCTTTAGGCACGTACATACATGAAGATATATAACAATTGCTAAATTATTGCAGCATGTCAATAATAAATAGAATGCTCCTAATTTAATAACTTTCTTTACTTGATTTAATAGTCTAAATACAAATATAAAAATAAGCAATAAATTTGGTTAGTTATAAGTAAATCAAATATTACTTACCATCGGGTACTTTAACACAATCAATAGGTTGACTTGCTGAAATATACAGTATATATATATAAATATACTAAAACAGATAGTTTGAATTCAATTTGAGAAATAAACATCTTTTACCTGCATTTACTATATTGACAGATTTGGAAATTTTTACAATTGATAACATATTATTAATTTTTTAAAAATATGAATAAATGTTATTACCTGGTTTAGGGAGTTTGGAAATATACAAAAGTCGGCTTGTATAAATAGCTTGCGGATGTGTCTGATATTTGAATTGTGCTGATTTGATTTGGTTATATGTCAAGAAATTTTTGTCTAAATCTTTAATATTTTTAACTTGCTTATATAATTCACTGTATTCAAGCTTCAAATAATCAAAAAATTGATTCAATGTATTAGCTAATTCTTTAGCAGTTGGTCTGTTTCGAGGTTCTGCGTCTAGGCACTTATTCATCAGATCCAAAAGTAGTTGAGGAACTTCGCATCTAATTTTAGGTCTGAGACCTTCACAAATATTAAGTGCAAGGCTAAAAATCATGTGGAACATTATGATATGGAGGGTATCCAGTAAAAACTTCTGACATAATTATTCCGAAAGAATATATATCCGATTTTTGAGTGTATTCCTTTCCATTCGTGTATAATACCTCTGGGGCAATATAGGGAAGCACACCAAAAGTGCTTTACAACTTGAGTCTTGTGACACTGGTTTACATAAGCCAAAATCAGTAATGTAAGAATTAAACATATTTTGATTAACAATATTTCCAGAATGAAAATCTTTATGCACTAAATTGGCTTTGTGAATTGTATTAAGCCTCTAGCTATGTAATATAAATTAGCTACTTTAGAAGCCCAATCTAATTCACCAAATTTTCTATCTAACAATTTTCTGAGACTTCCCTGCTTTGCGTACTCCATAACCATCAGGTAGTTACCATCTTTTGGGTTCTTAGTTATTCCATAAATCGCAATTGTTGAATCACCCTCATGTTTATGTTGTTTTTTAACCTAATAAAATATTAATTAGGATAAATAAAATTACCAAACTTTAATAAAACAAATTAAAATATTTACTTCTTCTAAAAATTCTTGTTTTATATCTTTAGAATTATCAAGACTTTTTAAACAAACATCTTTTTGTCCGTTTCTATCCAATTTATTCCCCCCATAATCGAATCCTATAATATATCCGTCAATCCATACTGCCTTAAAAACAGTGCCAAAGCCTCCTTTAGCAAGATACTTTATATTTGCAAATTTATTAAAGGATATCCATTCAATAATGTCTTTATATTCCTGTGCATCAAGTTGTGTTTGTTGAATTAATTGATCAATGTCATGATTATCACTTGTCCAATTATGAAACTCTTTTTTAAATCTTAATATTATAACATAATTAATACAATATAATAATAATAAACCTTTTCTTGATATTCCAATGTTAATGCATTATTTGATTTTTTACTAATGTCTTCATTAGTTATTGCTGTCAATCGAAATATATACGGATGAAGTTAAATTCAAAACAAACGAAAAAAAAAAATCAAACTTTTGAATAAGTTTACCAGAGTATTAAATTTTTGTTGCCAAAGTTCACTTCTACTGATCCGCCTTGCGATCTAAATCCAAAGCAAGGGTATATATTGCCTTCCAAATCGTTAGGTAGAAGGCACGCAATTCCTTAAAATATTTTATAATTTTTAAATTTCTGTCTATTCTTCTAAAAAAAATAACCTTTAATTCTATGTTGGTACCAAGGTTAATTTCATTTTTAGTATAAAATACTATCTTATTTCTTAAATTTAAATAGCATCCAATTATATCATCAGTGGTATATGACTCTCCATATGGTCCACCATTTCTTGAATAAAAAGAATATCCATCGTCGCCATGGTAACCACACCCCATGTTTCATTTTCCTTAATTTGTTTGTTTTCCTTATATTCTTGACCTAAGGGACATGATAGATGTTAGTATATAATAATGAGCAAATAAAATAAAGATTTACTGTTACCAAGCATGAGCATATTATTTATATAATCTGAATCAGTGTTTCGCCCTCCCCCCAAAGTCCGAAACGTTTCAGTTTCGCCCAAAATCCGAAATGGCCGAAACTTCCGAAATGGCCGAAACTTCCGAAATGGCCGAAACCTCCGAAATGGCCGAAACCCTCTTTGTCTTTCGGAAAGTTTCGGAGGTTTCGCCCAGTTTCGGATTTGGGACTTCTGGCGAAACTATGTTTCGGAGGTTTCGCCCGGCCGAAAGTTTCGGTTTAGGCCGAAACACTGATCTGAATTGTTTATTTTTTTATCGCCTTGCTTTGTACAGTATCCGATTCCAATCATTCTATTAAGAAATAGATAAAAATATCACTGGAACAAAAGTGATGTTTATGTTACGAAATAATTATTAATGATACCCATTTTTTCCTTTGTTTATAATTTTAATTTCAAAGTAAAATATCCCACACTCTGAAGGGATTGGATTATTTGCTCGAACAATTAAAGCTTTATACCGTATTACCGCGAAATAACGCACACCTGCGCGCTATTTTGAGTGCGCGCATGTGCGCTATTTTGAGGTAAACCCAATTTTTTAAGCAAATATGTATAATATGTTCAATATAATCAAAAAAGCAATATTTTCAGTTTCAGCAATATTTTATCTCAGACTTCGATGTTTTAAAAAAAGTTTTAAAACAATAAAAAACGGTTAGAATACTGTTTAAAGCGTTTTTTTACCATCACTAAACTATGTAAATCATAAAGATTTTCTCATAAAATTTATTTTAACTCATTTATTTTCACGTGTTATACATTCGATTATATGGGCTGCTGTCAATAGAAATCAAGCAAATCTACATTTAAAAAAAAATTAATGCCTTGACTTTCACAGCTCATATCTCGATAAAATTTAAAGCTATCTTTATAATTTAATATTCAAAAGAAAGCTTACTATCTAAGCTTTATTTTAAATATTAAAGCATCAAGATAGCTCTTTAAAATTCATCGAGATATGAGCCGTGAAAGTTAAGGCATTAATTTTTTTTTTTTTAAATGTAGATTTGTTTGATTTCTATTGACGGCAGTCCATATGTATACTATATATGGCGCGCGCTATTTCGGGACGTGCATGGGCGTTATTTCGAAACCCACTATGCTATTTTTTAGAGTATGCGATTTTCAAAATAACGCCCATGATCGTTATTTCGCGGTAATACGGTAGTCATCAGGATCTTTAATCAAAAAGCTTTTAATAAATCAAAATTAAATGCCGATGATTATAGTAGCACATTAAATATGTTTCTGCGAGATTTTTCATTTTCATACATTATTACCTGTATAACTCACTTTAAGTCCACTTGAATCTATGTCAATAAATGGTGATTTATCTTCAATATCCCATGCAGTCGCTAAAACAATATTATTGTACGAAGTTATTGGTTCTAAATCTTCCATACTGTAGGTTAAAATTCAATTCAGATCTTTTTGTTAATGAACGGTGAACATACAAGTAATTTATAGAAATATTAACGAACACAATGTATTATTTATGTATGCGTATTTGTATTCTGTACTAGTGCTATAAGCTAAACGATAAGTATATTCATAATCTTATTTATGATTTGGCTTTGTGTAATACGGTAATATATATTTATTGAATGCGAAGCAGACAATAAGTAATAATTTTCGACCGCCTATTAACAACGAAGTTCCACAATAAAGCTCCAGAAAAAGAACTCCGAAGTTTTAAAAAATGGCGAGAAAGCTATCAAATTTTAACGGAGTTAAAAATACTTAATATCAAAAACTTTGACGTAAATGCAAACAATGGTAGCAAACTAATTAGTTTATATAATCAAAATTAAAATTGCAATATTTTATAGTCAATTCTTAAGATAATATATCTAGTTATTAAATGAAAATTAGCATCTTTACATTTTCCAAATGAAATTTAAATACTATTATCAAGAGAATATATTAAAAAGCATAAAAAAAACCTCTAAGCAATGATTGGATTTGAACGTGTCTTGAAAGCGAATTCAGTTTAGGTCTTTAAATAGCTTATGACTGTATTCAAGATGTAGCAAGGTAACGTGAGTGCCAACCAATCAAATTTCGAGTATGATTTCATTTTCAAAATAAGATACTTAAGGTTTTTGGAGTAGAAGGAAAAAATTATAGATAGTATAAAAATATGAAATACAGTAGTAAAAATTTTGATTATAATAAAGAATACTAGTTATATTTAGGATATAAATGTTAGCTTAGAAGTGAAGCCTGTTTTTTTTTCTAAATTTTATATGTGCTGCAACTTAATTAAATCATTACCCTGAAAATTTTCTGACATTACACTTGACTGATAACTATTAAGCTTTTATTTTAACTCGCCAACTCGGAATTTCTTTTCTAATTAAACCTTTCAATAGGGTGATTTTTAATTAACATATTTCGGAAATAAGTGAAATTTTGAAATCAGAAAAAGAAATAGGAAATAAAATGAATAAACTTTTTTTTATGTATTGTTATTATATCATACTGTCGTAATAAATTACAAGTTATCGCTTAAAATTTTTTTAAAAAATTATTTTCGAATTATTAATAAAAAAACCACTAAAGAAAAGAACTTAAGAAAAAATTTTAAAACTTGATTGTTTTTCACGAATAGTAAGATATCGATCTAATTCAAAAGTTTGCAATAGTTCCAACAGTTCATCGATTTCTTTTTCGAGAATATTAGTTGTATTTTTTATGAGTACTATTAGAATATCTATTAGTACTTCTAAACTACTATTTATGTCTTTAATATGTAATTTTCGATCAGAATATATGATATCAAGTTTCAAAAGAAAATTCACGATCCTAAAAAGTATTAATTATCATTAATTTAATTCGAAATCGGAAACCTGAATTTTAATTCTAAATCACCCTAATATTTAAAAAATATTACCGTAAATTACCATATAAAGTGCCCGGTAAATGGTACATTCCGTTAATTCGGTAATTTTAAAACCTAATAGACCCTGTGTACAGTCATCCTCCCATACAATCACACAGTTGGGCACATAGTAACTTTTTTTTAAAATGTGCTTACAAAGGAGTTGTGCTTATGTGGAGGGTTTTTTCTTATAAATTAAATAATAGTTTGGCCTAAATAATAATGTGATTATCTATAATGTGATTATATGGGAGGTGACTATATGGAGGGACGACTGTATAGTATATATGTTGTAAGTGGGAACAGAATTATGTGGATTCGGAATTCTTCAGTTAAATTAAGAATTTTTTTAGGTGTCTGAAAGAACTGCATTTCAAGGAGATCTTGTGATCCACACCCAGTCTAGTTTATGTTTACACATATCATTGGATGAAATATTTTTTGGGATGCAGAGAATGAATCCTGTTCATTAATGGTTTTAGTAATTGCATAATATATCCGAAAAAATATTATGGTTAATTGGAGAAGAGTCTTGGAATTGATTTTTATCAGATTCGCGTAGAAGTTTCCTTAAAATTATTCCTCTAATAATTTAGAGTTGGCATCAATGCGCTGGTTTATAACAGGAATAGTGCATCAACAATATTCTCAAAAGAATTATCGCTATTTTCTAATCTGTCTACTGTATTTCGCATTGCCATAAGTCGTCCAGATTTTGCTGATCACTTTTGCCAGATGTTAACGTTAAAATGCTAAACCTTTTCTTAACAGTTAAGGCATGAACTTTTATAGCTTGCTTATATAATCTTTAAGCACTGTTTTGCTTCTAAGCAGAGTTTTAAATATGCCTCTAAATTAGATTTTTAATTTGATAATTTTCTATATGAATATAATTAATTATATTTGATAAATTATTTATATATTTTTATTTGGATTTTTACTACAAATAACCGGTGATAATAATCACCACCTCTTATTTTTAGGGATAGGTTTTTGGGGTTCTGAACATTTTTGCTTAGTATCCCTGACATGAATTAGATAGTAGTAGTATTCGGCAAAATCAAAAAAAAACTTGCCGAGCACTAGTACGTACGTACGTACGTACATACTAGATAGGTTTTTGAGATATAGCACCACGGTGATAATCACCACCGGTTATAGTTAGTATATAATATTAATATTCAACATATTTACAGTATTATACGTGTTTAAGTATTAAAATCACTGGCTTGTGATGTGGCGGGATGAAATCACGTATAAATCTGTCTGGAGGGCGTAACATGACCACTGTGATCATCAATAAAACGTGTAGTTCATCTTTTTGTATTATATTCTTCAATAGCATAGTTCTTATCATTCTTTTTGTACTTTATTCCAAGACACACTTTAAAAAGACCCGAGGTGTTATCATATATTTAGTTATTTCACTTTACTAAATACCATAAATAAAAAAGATAACTATCTTTAACCTTATCAAAGCTCTTCTGCAAAAAACACAAGAACAAGATGACAAGGGTAGAGAATGAGTATATGCACACCTTGCTATGAGGGATTAATTGCTGCATTATATGATAAAACATGCACATAACTACTTAGCAATGTATGATATACAGTCTACAGAAAACTTTGAAAGTTTTAAAGTGATCGGTCATTTGAGAATACTATTAAAAACTTTCCGGACCAAGATTTAGATTCTCTTTCTGGGACTGTAAATTACAAAGAAAAGATTTTGCGCCTTGTACTGAATAATGTTTTGCTCAAGTCAAGAAATTTGCTACAAGAGAAGATGAAGGTCGGAGAAGAAGAATTAGCTATGCGCCTTTCTTAGAAAAAGATACGCTGTACTTGTGGGTTGTAACTATCACAATACAAATACAACCCGAATTTAACCACCTCGATACAAAAACGAATGTTGCTAATTATAGGTTAGTAATTTTCACTTTATAATTTGGGAATCTAACGAGCATAGTATGTGTGTGCACATGACGCGAGACAACAACAGGTAAGAACGATGAAGATAACAAACACGACAAGGACGACAACAAACACGACAAGGACGGCAACAAACACAACAAGGACGACAACAAATACGACAAGGATAACGAATACATCAAGGAAAACAAATACGACAGGGACGACAAAGTATAGCGAAGCGAGGATTAAAAAAGGGATGGGAATAGATATGTGCACACCTTGCTATGAGAAGTTAATTTAATACGATAGGGTAGATTCTAAGGTCTGCTAGTTCCGTTCCGGAAAAGAGGAATTAGCTATGCACCTTTCTTAGAAAAGATACCCTCTTGCGGGATTAATTTTCGTACTCACGGCTATAACTATCATAATATAGATACGACCTGAAGTTAACTATGCTCAGTACAGAAGTGACCGAATTTTAACGTCGTTATTTTAAGTTAGTAATTTTCACTTTACTAACGATAGCATGTGCGTGCACATGGAGAGAGACGACAACAAGTCAACAAGGACAACAAATACAACAATGGCAAAGGATAATAGGTTATTGACATTGACTTGAAACTTGAAAAGAAACCAAGTAAAAACAAATAAAAGAAATGACTCGAAGAAAATAGTAATTATAATAATATTATTATTATTAATATATTACACAATATATAATAAGAGTAACTAATAAGATATAAATATAATTAAACAATAGTCATTATTAATATATATTTTACGGGTCCGTATTATTTCACCGACAATCACTTCATAGACACCACATTTCACAGACAATTATTCTTCGACAAGTTCATTTTACCGACAGTCTATTTCACCGAAGCTCATCTCACCGACAAGTTTTTTTATAAATTAAACAAACTTTAGTTCTAACCTAACTCTAATGATATTGACCAGAATTACTTTGTCTGTAAAATGAGCTTCGGTGAAATAAACTGTCGGTGAGTTGATCGGATCCCATATTTTACTTATGCACTCGGATCTAATTTTTGAAAAAAATTTTTGTCCTTGAAGTAACTAATGGCGAAACAATTAAAAACTGGAGGGATGGAGAGATATTAGATTACTATGTTTCACTAAAATTATATACATGTATTTTGAAAATAAAGCACACTTAACAGATAGTATACAGATTTGAAAACAGGAAAGGGAAAGAAAATTTTATTTTAAAAGTAGAATTGCATTATGTATTCTGAGTTGTATTCTGTGATATTCTTATCAATAAAACAGCCAAATTTTTTTAAATTTTTACTTTGGTAAATTAATTATATAATAAATAAATTGTTTATTTCGCAAAATTAGCAAAGTTGTTTGACCATCAAACATATTTTATTAAATCTTGAGACTTCGTAAATTTGAATTGTGCAATAATAAAATGAGGTTCTAAGATAACAGGTATGTAAGTAACAATTTTTTTTTTTTTACCCAGTGCTTACATTTTACGTATTACTGATTATTACGATTTTTAGAAATAATAAGTAATAATTTAAGATCCCGATATTCAAAATCTCGACAAGTTCGAAATCCTGACAATTCAATAATACTCCCAAAAGTCAAGATCACGGGGTACAGTAACTATATACATCACAAGGGAAAATCTCCAAAATTCTGGGTTCAAATGTATCAAGGTTCAAGGTTGGATTGATCAAAGATCACCAAAACTTTTACTAATGAGCATGATCAAATTCTTGTTTACTTTATCGTTCAAAAGCCTCAGTATCATCAATAATCAAGACAGCACATAAGATCGAACTATTGCACAATATAAGCTATAAGTACGAATGGAACGACCTTGATTACTGGTGACGCTGAAATCAAAAATACTGATCTAAATACAGTCGAACCTCTCTAAAATCACACTGCCGGGATAATAGAGACTTTTTTTGAAAATGTGCTTATAGAGAGTATGTGTTTATACAGAGTTTTTTTTTCTATCTATTTATAATAGTTGGTTTTAGAATTTTTATATGATGTGCTTATATAGAGGGTGACTATAGAAAGGTTTGACTGTATTTTTAATATTCTAATTTGTTTGCAACGTAAGCCATTCAAGCTCATAGATACACGATGATAAGTATAAAGACCATTTTTAATCAATGTATTTTTAATACGAGTTTATTCAATTTATTGATATTTTTATTAATAATGTAATTTATTCATTATTAGGAATAAACTGTTCAAGTTCATGGGTATTTAATATTTTATTCACGATTTAGGGTAAGTATAAAAAACATTTTTAATCGATCGAGCTATTCAAGTTTGCTGACATAATACTCCTATTCGATTTGCGGTAGGTATACAATTCATTCATAAATAATCTACACATTCTATCGTCAATAGAATTCTCTATTAAATATTTTCTATTCTTTCACTTACGTTGTTAAATTGCCAGGGAGTAAGTATATATATAGTTATTTATCATCAATAAAGTTTTGTTCTTTCACTTACGTGTTAACTTGCCAGCATATAAGTATATAGTTTAATCTATACATTTATCATCTTTTAGCAATTTCAACCTTGATGCATTTGAATCCAGAATTTAGGAATCGAATTTCTTGTTCTATGTAGTTACTATACCCGTGATCTTGACTTTATGGAATCACTTATTAGTCTTTTGGCTATTCGGGATTTTGCATTCGGGATTTTGTATATCGGGATCTTAAACTGTTGGGGCTTAAGATATTGTAGAACCCTATTCAAAAAAAATCATTGTACTAAGAGTTCGTCATTTTGAAATTTCTTGAGTATTCGATTGCCATTGTTTTTTAGAACGATAAGCAAAAAAAAAATTCAATTTAATTAATATATCAATAAATATGTTAAAGCATTTTTTTACGGGAATACCAAGTTTGTGACTTGGGTAATGAAAATATCAGGTAATTTTATACGTAGAAATTGGATTTCCAGTTTTAGGGGATGGCTAAAGCCAGGTGCGTTTATATGTTTTTGATTATTTAATTAAGGGTTAGTTAGAGGTTAGGGTTGGAGGAGTTCTTATAGGTAAAATTGTCTTCCCGACATTTTTATTAGTACTTC